AAAAAACAAAAGAATTGTGATGCAGGAAAGGTGAAACAACGATTTCAGAAACTGGGAAAATTGTATTTGAGTTTTTAGAGATCATGTGAAGCCAGATGTAAAGTCTAAGAAAACCAGTTACACAGCTTTTGCCATTTATTTGGAGACATTACGTCATTTATTCAACACAAATTTGTGAGAAGAGTAACCAGTTACAAGAGGGGAAAGAAAAAAAGAGCTACAAAGACAAAGAGATTAATGTCCAAAGGAAAAACAGAAAAAGACTAACATGTGCATGAAATTAGAAAAACCCTAGCAGACAACGAGAAAGCCAGTCAGCAATGTCAGTCAGACAGACATAAACCAGAACTAGAGATGAACGATACAGCAAATGGGTAAGGGCAGATGAAAAGAACAAGTGAAGTGTAAGTGGTGAAGTGCTACAGAGAGAAAGAGTTGTGAGATGCAAGACTACACCCCGCCATGATCAGAGTACGGACTGGATGATTTATTTTCCCTCTACAATATTGAGTCCCTGGAAAAAAGTGGGAAAATCTACATTCCATTAAACTACTGAGAGATTTATTCTGAAAGAAGAATGTGATTGTGGCCCTGAATGTGTGGCAGTGACAGAATGGTCATCAGATGTGGCAATCACCCAACAATAGATGTCTCTTTTTATCTTACTCTCCTTATCTTACTCGTCTTTGATTGCAGATGTGTTATTTCCCCCTTTATTCTATTAAAATGAAGTGGACAAAAAAAAACATATACACCCAAAAACTGTTTTCAAATAAGCTGCAGAAACATTCACCCATGTATTTGCCTTTTAGGACTTGGTCTAAGCATCAACTTTAAGAAAATTCCAAAAAGCTTGTTGGTCATATGAATTTTTTTTTTATATTAGAATTTAAGTAATTTCTATTACAAAGTAACTAGGAAAGAGGGAAGAAGTAAAATCAGAATTTTAGCTCCAGCAGGGACTTTTCAGTTTCACTGTCAGGAGCCGGTAATACATTATTGTTTTTTGTGCTTTGGAGAAATATGGTTATGATATATTTTGAAAAGGAACAAGAGCAATACTGACTACATTTTAGTAACTAATCTAATGTAATATTGTGTAATTAGACATCTTTGTGATTTTCTCACTCACAATACAATTGGAGTTTGAAGGCCATGAATATTCCCATTTTATTATTTGTTTCTATTTTTGCATCATCCTATTAAGCTCTCCATCCTCAATCAAATTTGATATTCATAGTTTCTGGATTGACTGTTTATACTGAAAATCTGCTGTCAGTTGAATCTATTTGTGTGAGTGTGTGTATGAATGTGTGTGAACATAGAAAACAATATGACAAATTGTTGAAAAGCAAAATGAGAGGAGTAATGATTGAACAGTAATGCCACATGTGTACTGTAGCTTTCACATGTGTGTATATGTGTGTGTGTGGTGATGAATCTCTCATTGTGACAGTGGGGCCGGCAGCAGTGAATGTCCTTCTGGGTGGGACACTCTACTAACACATTGTGCACACACACATACTGAGACACACATACACAGATGGAAACGACCATACTAATGGATCATCCCTGTCTGCATGCAATCCGCCACAAATAATGATGAACCACCCCTGCATTTAACTATTTTACAAAATGCTCAATTCATTACTGTCCCGCCCTCTCTCTTTCTGGGTGAATGTGAGATAATAAAGGTATGATATTCCCCTTTACTGGCAGAATCACAGTTTTTAACCATTAGTATGATATCAGGAAAGCGGGGTGGGGGGTGGGGGGGGTTAAGAGGGCAGCAGAAAAGGCTTCAAACTGGTTTAATTGCATTACCACTGTAAAAAGTAGCAGCACCCCTAGGCAAAAGATATAAGAGAACAGTTTGCATAGCTAGTTACGAAGAGTAGAGCGAGGTTCAAAGCAATTTCAGCTGGAAGGGCCCTTCCTGGAGACTGCTTTATGTGTACAAAAGTGTAATGGAAAATGTCATATCAAGTCAAATTAAAAGACTAGTCCTTTTGACGATTGAACATTAAAAACTTTTTTTTTTTAAATAAAACTTGTGCAAGTGTGTCAACCACCCATGTCTATGAGAACTTATTTGACTTAGAAAAATAATTCATGAAAATATTACCTCAATAAATGAGCTAAACATAACAGTAACTTATTCCTGAAATATGATCGTTTAAGCATGCTGATTGCACAATTAGATTAATGTAGTAATCTAGTATATCATTTTGATTTGAAAAGTACTTCTCTGCCTCACTTTGCTCAGTGTGGAAAGAGGAGAAGAAAGAGTCATTATGGATTTCAATTAAGTGATCCCTGGGCAGAGAGGGATCCGTCAGAGAGGGGGAATTAATGTGCTGCAGACAGATGTTTAATAATAATGGCCGAACTGGCCCTGCCGAGAAACACACATTTCCTCTGATGCACCCAGCTGTGGCTGGAGGACCTCAAATGCATGGACGGACACGTTAAAATAACACACAGACAGGCCCACATACACAGACAGTTCTCTATAATCACTCATTCACTGACACATACAATAATGATTCAAAAACACACACTGTGCAGAGTAATACAAGAGAGTCTCACACACACACACACACACACTCCCCCGTACAAGCTGGTATCACCACTGGTATGTGTGTTTTTATGACCAGTGCTGGCCACAGCGCATATGGCCCTCATTTAGGAACAATGGGCATGGAGAATGACTGGCTGGATGAGCTTCCTAACTGTGAGAGGTGACTGGAGGCATGTTAAATGACATGCCCCGTACGGAGAGATGGAGTAACACAGGGAACAAGTGGATCTTCATGAGTAATCCTGGATAAGGACTTATTGCCTCACTGAGCAAAGAAAATGTTTTGACCGAGAACCAACAGAGGATGAGGAAAGGAAAGGGAAATGCTGAGAGAGCAACTCGTCAAGCTGGGAGTAGAGGTGGATTATTAGACAGCGTGTAAACAGCATGTTGTTTTATGAAGTGCTCTAACTCTCCTTTTGGTGTCATTCTCCCACAGATACACACCTGGTGACACCTCATCAGCGTTGCAGCAGGACGAATAGCTTCCAGACATCCTTACAGTCTTGTCAAAAACAACGCATCTCTAGAAATGTCTCCCCACCTCCTCTCTCACACACATAGGCTGTTCATACTCTCTTGTCACAACAACAACTCTCCAGTAATTACCAGGGTGGTCGCCCTCCTACCGCCCTTCGATGGATGGGATGAGCAACCATGGCTTCGACCCTGCAGCCATAACTCTACCCAGGACGTCTGCTGACTGCTCTTCACCACTGCGGTGGCCGTCAGACAGCAAATTGGCCTCAAAGAACGATAGAGAGATACAAAGGAATTCTAAAACAAGCTCACGCCCTGACTCACAGTGAAGCCAGCATGAAAGAGCATGGAGGTAGACACACTCATTCACTTTCACTATTTGCCGTTGCCCTGTCTCCAAGGAATAATCTATAACACAGACATACCTCTAACCAGTGGACAGACAGATATCGTTCCTTGCACGGATACAAAATTCTACACACAAACACACACCTAAACCCTGCTGAGGTGATCATTTTGACAGGAGACTATGACGGAAGAGAAGTGGAGAGAAGATGATGGGAAATAGGGAAGGAGTAGGGGAACATAAACTGATAACTGTATGATGAAGGGTGATAACGTCAGGAAAGGATGGAAAAAGATGAAGGGATGGATGGACGAGGTAAACTGGCAAATCAATACACACATCCGCAATCTGCATTTGGGGTGCTGGCATCTTTCAGATATTTTTTTGTTGTTATTTCTGTTAATTTTAATTTTGCCATTTTCATTCATTAGGATCTCATTTGAAAGTCTTTTGGCGTAAGTACTCTGACATTAATTTGTTTACTTCACGCATCAAGGAAAGGTTTTTGTAAGTCCATATATTAAAGTGATAAAGTAATAGAAGTTCATTTTCAGGTGTGGAAAATCACAAAGAATGTTGCATTACTCAGCACTGTTTGAATCATCTTAACCCTTTCATGTGTGAATTATGATAATTTTAGTCAGGACTTTTTTCTAAAGTGTTTTTAATTCTCTTAAGACATAAAAAAGGATAAATGATTTTTTATGTCAAAAATGTGTTTCTTCAAGGATTTTTCCAGATGTCCACTCCATTGGACAGCGTACATTTTAAGATTTCCTGATATGGAAATATAGTATGGTACAATGTGAAAATATTTTGACATTTGTTAACAGAATGCTTAAACTTGGAACTTTGCATGCAACTCTCATCTTATTATAATATTAACTACTCTATAACCCCTGTTCTCAATCCCGCTCATTCAACCCCTTAATTCATTTGACTCTATTTCAGCTCTTCTTTAACTGTATATTCTCGTGGAAATTTTTAAAAATCTTATTGCATGATGCACCAGTGTCCACTTCAGTTGCCTATGCATATTTAAAACATAAAATTCTATATGTACACAAGAAAATGGCTTTGAAATAGCAGTCATGGGTTCAAAGGGTTCAAATATGCATCAAATGAAAAAAATATGGTTTATTGGACTAATCATTTGAGTTAGCTGTTTTTTTCTTTTATAAATATAATGTAAAAGAAAAAAAACATTAAATAAACCACATAAAATCACAACTCAATGTACAAGTTTATCAAGTAAAATTAGGACATAATGGATTTAAAAAAAAAGAAACAAATAGAAAAATATCGTGCCTAATTACCAGAAAGTTTTAAGCGAAAATAGTATTGAGAGGTTACCTCTCAAGATAGGCCTCCACTGCAGCAGATAGTGATCAAGCTAAACACGAGTATACTCCAAAGAAGCACGACGAAACATAAGGAATATTACCAACCAGGCTGTACAACAGTATACGTTTTTCAAACTTATAATACTTATTTTGCATCAAAAGCAGTCAGACGTTTGTATATGATGTGACACAAAACCCGAAGATGGTTTATTTTCTTACAGGTTTTGAACGCATCGCAATACCGTTGTCAGGACAACGAGTAAACGCACTCCTTTGCAAACATGGCGGAGCTTCTGAAAATTAGAGCTGAAGTAGAACATTTCCGAAAGGAATACTTCTACAGAAACTGGTGCGTATCTTGCATTTATTTAGCTTTTTTCTTGATTTGTTTACTCGATGTGTTTACAGGATTTGTTTACTCCTGTTGTCCAAGCTAATTAACAAGGGTTTAAATGAGTTTTACGGTAATTTAGTCGATATTATTTTACTTCTCAGCTAAAAGCTATCTCATTAGCAGTTTTTAAATTCTTTTTTAATGGTTGATTCATGTGCACTTGTGTATTTCACACATCAGACCCTTACTTTTTTTGTGGACTTGATTACTAGTACCGGTCAGTTTGCACCGGTACTTTTCAACATAATAAACAAAGAGACGACACAATAGTTATTTATACATTTTTTATTCCTTTTTTATTATGATTTAGCAAAGCTGAGGAAAACAGACGGAAGGAGACTCAAGCCGCCACCCGAATTCAGAGCGGGTTCCGAGCCTGTAGGGTACGGGCATACTTAAGGTACTGCTTGTATGTAATGAGTGTATTTTGCATCCCACCTGTTTCTGCATGAAAATAGGCTTTCAGTGCCTCATTCTTACAAACACACATCCACATCCACATCCACACACACGCACATATATATATATATATGTTACATTCGACATTTTATTGTGAGGTTTGGTATCCTTTCAGTTTGAATCTAAGAGTTGATTTAATTGTAAATCCTGACATTATGCCTATCACATAATAATGCCACTTCCAGATCTTCTCAAATGTCCTCAAGGAATAAATGTGTCTTTCACTCTTTACACATTGAAATGTATGTTTCTATTACTGTGCTTTTTCTGATACCGTGACCCAGCACCATTCTACAGGGTCAGCAGACAAACTCCCAGACTGTAGGTTAATTCAGATTACTTTAGTTAATTGATCAACGCATTAAGTGGATAATTAGCAACAATTTTAGCTGCCTAAGTGCAACTCCGGGGTTGTGATATCCCCACTATAAGCATTGATTTTCTGGGCATATAAATGGCCTTTTGGAAATTGATGGCCTCATTGGAGGCTGGGAATTGCAGTGAACTTGCATTTAGAGTATGTTTGAAGATGAATACAAATGTGCACCACTGACTAAAGGGGATGAAAGGCTCATCGGACATGATCGAAAAGCCTGAAAGAGCAGGGGGCTTCTCTGAGTGTGTGTCTAACTGAGAGCCTACTTGAAAGTATAATGTTTCCCTGACCTTTTAATTCTACAGCCTTTCTTTTTACAGCCTAACATGTGATTGCAGAAATTCACTATTTTATTTAAAGGCTTTTCTTTCTGAGTAGAATTAAACTTACTTATCTTCTTTTAACATGTATTTTGTATTAAGATAGATGATGCCTTTAGTTAATGATCTTGCAAATATATCCATTATTTGATTTTGCCTTACTTTTTTTTCTAGTGTTTTGTTTATTTCATCCACTAAATAAAAATCCCATTCTGTCCTCTCTCCAATTTGATTTTATTACAGCCATCTGCATAAGAAGGCAATCATTATCCAGAAGGTATGGCGCGGCTTCACGGCAAGGGCACGTGTCAGACAAATGGTGAAGGTAAGCCAGAGCCCTGCAGCTGCTATAGATATATTGATTATGTTATGATAGCACACATTAGAATTCAATTGCCATATTCCAAAGTCCCTGCCTCTGACCTTAAGAAATATAATTCACTCATTATATATTTGGAAATGAACACTTAGGAAATTTGATGCAATATGATAAGGAATTCCATTTATATTGCATTTCCTGGGATGTGTTTTGAGAATTAGAAATCTGGTCAGAGTTTTGGACATTATGTGTGCTTTAGTAAAACAAGGCCCCATTTTCAGCATATTGCCTCCAAATGCTTCTTAATTGAACAGATTGTTGATACTGGATTCAATACCCAGTGCTCTCACATATAATTTTCCCCTGGATTGAGTTTTGTAAACATATCACAACAAGCTATTTATCATGCCTGTAAATTGACTGTTTGCTAAAGCATAACTGCCAGCCGCCATTTGGGAAGCATTCAAGAAATGGAAAGAGGGTCGGGGTGTGTTAAAATAAACAATGAAGGATGTGTCACAACACACATATGGGCTAAAACGAGACTGTTTGGTCTCATTTGGAAACAGATGAGCACAAATTTGAATCACTCCAAATTGCCACATTGCACTGTTTTGATTTAGGCCAAAGATATTCCATGCTTCACCTCTTCTCCTTCACTGTCTGACTTCCTCTCTCTTGTGGACCTTATCATGTGCAATGTGACTGGCACAAAGCCTCTTCTCAAATCATCAAGCTGAATTTACAACCACCTTTCAAGTCTTTATCTTCCTTCCGCTTCCTGGCTTCCCTCTATTCCCTGTCGTTATTGAAAAAGACACATTGAAATATGAATCCCTTTTAAGGCCGACACTCCAGTTTGCTCCTGAAATGTGCCCCAAGTGGTCGGGTGGAACGTTTGGTCTGTGACGGCTCTTCGAGCATGTTGCTGGATATTCTGAGGCCTTTTGTTGTTAGTCTCTTCTGTGGCAGTGCTGTCATTGATTATGAAATCCAGAGGAGAGCGTTTGGCCGTCATACATCTCCATTAGCGTGCTGCTTGACTACCATAGATTTTCTTGGCCCTTGTCTGCGTTGGTGTATTAAAAGAGTACCGTCCTCTTCTTGATACAAAGTCTTACTAACCACTTTCTCTCTTCCTCTCCCTTTCTTTCTCCATCCTCCTGACTTTTTCCCCTTTCTTCTCCTCTCTCTTGCTTTCCTTTTCCCTTTTTCTGCCCCCCTCTCTCCCTTCACACCCTCTTCCGTGGGCCTATCTGTGCTGTGTCTGTGCAATGTATTATGTATAAAGAGCTCTTTATCTTTGACGCCTGCTGTGGACAGATCAGAGGGCTGGGAGACAAGATGTAACACCATATTTTCCTTTGTGTTCACAGGCGGCATATTTTATCATGAAGATGAATTTCTACGAGGAGATGGCGGTCAGGGTAAATATCGCTGCAGTGCCTCGTATTAGCAAATGGAGTGTCGTGGTGGGGAGACACTCGGTTGCTCTGTGTGTGCTGGGAATTGGAGGCCTCATGAAGAGTGGCGTTTTAGCGCTCTATCATCCAACTCAGTCGAAAAACCCTCCATCCTAGATTTTCTTTCGCCTATTTCATAAAACATATGTAAAAAATATTGCCATTTCTTCTTAGCTTAGATTCCTGTCATGTGTTATTAGTACAGTAATTGGCACTTGATTTCCCAGGCTCAATACTGTCAGGCATTCGATGGATAAAAGTTTCTGAAATCTTTTCCTCAAAGATGAATTCATATTTTACAGTTTAAAATGGTGAGATCACGTTCATTTTAAAGTGGCAGTACACTGACACTCTTCCCCCCCTACAATGCACAAAACCTGTCCCTCCCTGTCATACAAACACTGAACTGATCATGTATCATTGTGAGCATGTATGGTAGGATGTACTGGACTGGTGAAGTTTTGCCCTTATTTTGTCACCTCATGCATGCTTTGAACAGTCACTCTTGGAGAGCTTTCACTAAGATCTGTTGGTTTAGACAATTAGAACTACTAAGATAAAAAAAAAATGGTTACAACTAGCTTTAAATTGGCTATTTGTTTGGTGTGACTCGATGTCAACTAAACAACTCAATCAGGCTAGTCTTTCAGGGATAGCATAGCTGACCCTACTTTTGGCGGTGCAGCAAATTACGATCTAATTTTGATGCATTTACTGTAAGGGTCATAATGTGAATGTCCTCCACATCTGTGATTACTACAGAGGACAATTGTATGACACCTGGCAAAGGTGTTGATCAACTCAATAGAGACAAAGATAAGTATATTAGGAGGCTATAAACATTCTCTCTTCCGTTATGTAAACAATAGAGATGGAGATAGAGAAACTATATGATGAGGCAATTTCCGAATTTACCAGTACTTCCTTTTCTGCATTCTGAACAGGGAAACGAAGTCATATTGATTCTAATTGGCCATAATGCACACAAAACATACCAATATATGGTTTAATCTTTTAGGGTAAAAATGACAGGGGTTGAATTTGAATTTTGAGAGTTGGAGAAATCTTCTTCATATAGAATACTTCTAATTCAAGATAGCATTTAGTTAAATCTAAAACTATCCCTGTCTTGCTACTACTGTTTAAGTCATTAATCATTACTCTATCACTTTGATTGATGCTTTGGCACTTTTACACATGGATATTTCACAGAAACCTTATATATTTAGAGTTCCACATAACCTTCTTCTTTGACATACAGTCTCATTCTGCCTAAACCATTAAAGGGTTTTATAGCCCAACAAAAAATACACTGGTGTTTATTTAGGGTGTGTTGCTGTCCAGATGGATGAAGATGGTTAGAATATTTTCACATTGTTGGGAAAGCCTGGAAATTGAAGGCTCCATGTTTTACTCTTAATAGAAACCTAAACAAATAAAACGGACCACCCTGTTGTTTGAATAAATACCCGATTTAAGGAGAGACGGAGATGCAGAGCTAGTCTTTGACCCAGCCGTTAAGGTCACGCGGTGAAAGGTCTTAGTTGATGTCACCATGTAGAACAAAGCAAATGCTTCAGAAGTTAGAGGAGATCGGTTTTTATTACCCATTAAAAACAACCTTCATATTTCTATAAAATTTCCATTGTTTCCTTTAGGAAACAATGGAAATTTTAATAGAGGGTTACGTGAAAAGGACTGGTGGCTCAGTGGTTAACAATGCAAGAAAGTGCTTGGTTTAATCCCCACATGGGCCCAATGAAGCTCTGCAGTGCTGAGTGTTTTCTCTGTTTGACTTGGAATTTTCGAGAGCTCTGATTATATCTGACTGCCCTTGACTAAGGCTTTGGCCTCAAAAGTCTTTCCCCGGGCAGAACAGTGCACTGTTTACAGTTCCGAAAGACCTATGGGCAAAATTTAGTGGTAACATTCCGATTGGCTAACAATTACTGAAATGTAGCAAAAGTTAATAATTTTCATACGAAGCTGAAGGTTTTCGTGAAAGCACTACTACCTGAACATGACTTGTTTTGAAAGAATCACTGGGAAAAACAAATAAATGAAGGACACCCGGACTATTACCAAAGAAATATTTGCTGTTGAAACTAAGAGAAATAAAAATATAAAAGCAAGAAACAATTATCTCAAAATCCCCGTGTGACATTTCCTTTGAATCAATTTTGACTCCATTTTTTCTCTCTCTCCCTTCTTCTTGTTTTTATCCCGGTGTGGTAGATAACAGAGTATAATGTATTAAGGCTGTAATAGAAACCAGTGTTTACATGCCGCACCTCGGATTTGTATTAGATTCAACAGCATCGATTTCACTAGTCAACAAAGGTCAGCAAGAACTTGGGTGGCGCCAATTACTTTATTTAAAATTATCTATTGACTGGCAGATCAATGCTAATTCTCATTTTGCTCTTTGTTGTTTTTCCCCATCCTCCAGTCCTCCTCTCGCCTCTTCTCATTGCATGATTATTCTTTTACCTGCTATTGTTTTAATCTCCTAATTAGTCTGAAGGACATCCGCCCCTTTGCTTTAAAATGGTCCACTGCTGTGAGTGGGTGTCTGTGCTCACTAATCTGTAACCCTCTCAATCAGCAAGGACCGACATGGTTAAATATATGAAGCTATGACAGCTGTCGTTCCCACCTTGGATTGTCCCTCTGTTACTATAATGTAGGATTTAAAAAAGAATGCTTTTTATGTTTGTGCCATCACAAACACATGAACAAAATACTTCGACACTGGGATTGTTTCAGATACTGCTCTACAGTATTCATGGCATTTGACTGTGTGTGGTTATCTGAGGTAATAGGAACACTTGCACTCTCTCATTTATTCATATTGCATTCAAAGTTCTGAAGAAAATATCTACCCTTCCTTACAGATTCAGCGGCAGTGGAGAGGATTCTTTGTGAGGAAGTATATTCATAACTTTTATGAACGCAAAAGCTATATGGAGGGACTAATCATAAAAAATGAACTTATCAGGTAAGATAAAATACATACACTGTACTGCATGAAAGTTGAAATAATGATAACTTTTTTAACTTGCAATGTATACTGGTTGATTAATATATAAGGTTTATATAGTGTTTTGGCCTCACTGAATTTTGAAAAGCAAAACATTGTCTCCTAGTGATCGTTTTTAATCAGTCAGGAGTCAAACTCAACAAAATATCAGTCTAGTATGTCAGAACTGCTTCATAGGGTAGAGTTTGAGTTTTGGAAGATTTTCTCCATTGTTGTTTAATAGGTTTCCCATTTGATTACAACAATCTGTTTTATAGATTTTCTTAATTGTATGGAACAAAAAGTACTCATTCTGACCTGCACTGTGTTTTACAATTGACATGTCTTATGCTACAATATACAAAATACAATGGTGTTCCCCAAAAAGGCAGACAAATTCTATATTTTTCATGCTTAATACATTTTAACAAATATGTTGTTAAATGATCAGTTTTCTTTTGGATGGACCTGTATGCTCAGGCAGTACTGCAAGTGGCTGTCAGAGAAAATTAATAGATATGATGAGTGAAAAGACAGTTGAATTCTGTTCCTGTAACATTAGAATATGGGATGACAAAGAAGGATGTAAGGAAAAGTCAGAGAATCAAGAAGACTGAGACATGTGGAGATAGAGGTGAGGGAAGAGGGAGAGAGAGAGAAGTCCTTTTAAAGCGCTTGAGGCAAAGAGACAAAGAAGTGAACGATGTGAAGAAATTAAAAATTAGCCTCTGATTTGAACCGCAGCTTGTGCATTAATAAAACATCCTGTGCTTCAGGGCTTTAGTGCTAGAGTTATGCCATCTTTTATTTTTGACAAAAAAAACATCACTATTAGCTAATAGTGACATTTTTAATGTTGCTAATATATTTTGCTAGAAAATATCTTTAGGCTTAAGCTAAAATTAAATGTAAATTTGTTAAAGTGCTCCTTGGATCACTGACTTTCCCCCTCACTTCCCCACAAGCATTCCACCTTCCCTCCTTGCCCTGTTCTGAGCTTGAAGGTACCTAGACTGTAAAAATCCATTAAGGAAATGTTGCCACTGAATTCACATTAGGCAGGTTATTGTCACACTAGCGTGCATTTATTTATTTTCTACAAGTTATATTGTTATATTAGATTATATGGAAAAATAAACTTTAAATACAGAGTTTAAAAAATCAGATTGACAATCTTAAAGAAATTCTTTAGAAAAAGTGAATAAATAGATAATCTGACAGAACCTTTTGATTAAGACTTTTTTTTTGTACAGATTAGGTTATACTGTTATATAATGTATGTCATCCACACTCTAATCAGTCAGACACACACATACACGCAAAGCCCCTCCTCCACAATGCTTTTGGGTGTTTAGGTCACTTTTACTTTAGTTAATCACATGTTTATTTAGCGCTGCAGGGGTCATGATCAATTAACGTTATGTCGTTGTTCCTTTTAACTATCCTTCCTGTGTTAGCCCAGAGATCACAACCTATCTGACTGCTTACCCCACAAACATACTATATAAATATACTAGTGTGTTCTCTCTTTTCTGTCTCATTTTAAGTTTCTCTGTTTTGTCAATATTTAGCATATATTGATGAGTGTCAGACTGATGATACCCATTCAGAGAATGTGGATCTATAGACCATGGTGTAAAAGCAATGCCAAACCTCTCTCTGTTCTTCCACACTTATAATCTCTATTTCAGTCTCTCTGTGATGACTGACCCCTCTGGCACAAAATGACGTGTGCCATTTCATTAGGAGCAGCATCCACCTAATCCCTGCCGCTTACACAATCCGCTTCTATCCACTTCCCCGTCTCCGCCTTTCTTAATCTCTAAGTCTTACCTCTCTTTTTTTTTTCTCTTTCTTAATCTATTTAGCTCTATATCTTTCCCTCCATCACTCTGCCACAGGTTCACTGTGCTTCAGTCCATCCTCATTCATCCTTTCTCTCCTTCTGCATAGCCTAATGAAGTCAGGACCCCAGCGCAGTCCCTACTCCGCCACAGTTTTCCTTGATACCCCAACAATTTATCACTTTGTCAGGGAGACACTTAAAGTTCCTGGGCTTTACTAAGGGCATGCAGTGGGACGATGGGGGCAATTAGGAAAGCGGAGCGAGCATGCTTTGCATATTTACTAAATGTGCTGGTGTCATTGCTGCCACCACTATCATGGCCTGTTGACTGCATGATATATTCCTCTATCTGCAATAAACAGCTGGGTAATTATTACTTCCATAATCAGATAAATAATTCTCCTAGTGATATTGCAACCATGGAGTGAAATCTTTAACTTATCCTTAAATGTATAAAAGATTATGGATAGCCATTTGGTTGCACAACACTTTTATAAATAATTATGCATATATATATAATATATATGTATATGTATGTTATTTTTTGGTGCTGTGTTTTCTCTCTTCGTCTTTCTTCTTTCTCCCTGCCTTTCTTTACTCTAGTTTTCTACATTCCTCCTTTTCTTTGTCCCTTCCAAGGACATTCATGAAAGAAGAGCTGCTGTGGTGGAGAGAGTGCAGGCCTGCCCCGCCATCACTCTCCACTTCTAAGCGTCAGTCTTTCTTAAGTCGCTCTTTCCTTCTGATCCAGTTTGGGTGCAGATAAGTTCACTCCTTCATTTTGATTGGATTTGTATTTCCACGGTGTCTGTCTGTGAGAGTGTCTTGTGGGAAACAAAAGCATGAAAGATGTCACCAGTTAAAAATGCTTTCTTAAAATTTCAGTAATACTAACTTTAAAGTTTTCTGTCCTGGCATTGTAGTGCCTCAACATATTGTGGTGTCACTTTTACCTCTGCAAGAAGTAAGCCAGCAATGATACATTCACTTAAACAGAAAGGTTGTGATTGTGAGGTGCCGAAGGCTCAATACATTGAGCATCACTGTCTAAACTGATTGGCCGAAAAGCTCTTCCTTGCCAGCTATTGAGTCATTTAATTGGGGCAATTAAATAAACCAATCAGGTCAACTGTCCATTGAATATTCAGAACGGAGCCAATTAGCTGCTCTGACTCCTGCCTTTATGACCAAGGGTGTGGCCTTTTGTTCCTAAATGCCTCATTCTGTGATATTCCATCAGTCCTTGACTCTCTATTGTGAACCATGAAGTAAATTATTTAGAGAGAAGTTAAAATGTAGCTGTACTATAGTAGCTATTTAAATAAGTTAAAAGTCCAGGGCAAAAATGTCAGCAAGGTTTGACTCATTCCAAAGTAACTCTGGTACAAACGATTAGCTTGTTCAATAGTCCAACCGCCTTCAGAAGCAACATGCAGTCAGTCTTCTTTCTCATTACCAAATGGAATGGTCAAAAATGTGAGTATCACACAACAGCTACCATTTTGCATATATTTATTACAATAAGGTCATGCAGTATCAGAAAAAGTTTGTTATTTCCAATTGTAGTGGGTTTTCATTAGTGTCTTTAAAGCTTATAATATATGAGATATAATTTATTGATATTGTGATATAGTTAAGGTTTCATGACTGGTTGTGATGTATTAGTTGGTATGTGATTTCAAATAAAAATCATAATTCAAATTTAACCTATAAAATCAGCCCCTGTATGTACACTTAGCTATTAGCTATTTTCTTCTCTTATAATCACATAATAGGATCCACTCAAAGCACCCAATGGCTACAGATGTGAGAGATCTGACTGACAGGGTTAAAGCCATTCTGTATTCTCTTCTTTTTTTCCCAACTTTCGTTCAAACACACTCACGTGCACATACGCATGGATACACACACGTATACTGAGGGCATGTGCGGCTTGCCGAACAGGGCTAATGAGGGTTGTATGTTGTGGCGGCTGGTTGGGTCGACACAGATCGAGGTGCCTTCAGCCGTTACAAATCTGTTTGGCTTTTGTCCACTACACAGCAATTAATAACACCAGGACTGGGGGCAGGGATGCAAAGGTCACCCATTCAGCCCGACCTACACAAACGCACTTAGGTGCACACACAGACACACACGCAGTCAAGCAAAATTGTAGGAAATTTTTGTAGGAAAATGTATACACAACCCATTTTTGACTGATGCACACATACACTTAAATGCTCACAGCCAAGACACCAACAGACATTTGAAAACAGGTTGTGACCCTGAAAACATTGTCTGTCCATAATATATTATAAATGCATAGGTGAACACATGCGTAAACGGGTTTGTGAACTGGAATGTCTCCTAATTTACCACCACCTTATATATTACATTAATAAGTAATATTCCTGTTACTTAGACAAATGGATGCCAGGCAACCTCAATATTTGCTCTCTAACACATGCTTTCACACTTTATTAAATTGTTGCACTTAATATAAGACAAACATTCGCATTTAGACTAGCTTTACCTCTTACTGCATACACGGACACACAGAGTTCAGCATTTTTCATTTATTTTGTAATTTAATCTTGTGCTCTGGAAAAAATAAGAATCTAAAGGCAAAGGAAATGGGTTGTGATTCCTTTTAAATGTCAGTTGAGGCAGGATGTGTTAACCTCACATTACGCACATTTTGTATATCCTGATTTCTGCATGGATATGTGTAATTGAAAGTAGACGTGGGGTAGGCAAAGAAAGAGTAGGAAATAATTTGAGAGAAAGAAAAAAGAGGTTGGGAAAGAAAACAGATGCGGCACTGCTGATGAGCTGAAGCCCAACTCTTATTGGTATTGCGCTTGTGGAAACAGATTGGTTTTGCTCTTAGCTTTGTGAGCGTCTTTTCAAATTATCATGGCATGCGTGATTTAGTAATTGTTTCCAATTCTCCCTTTAAGTTATTACCCCTTGTAACAATAAGGGTTTGCGACTGTGGAATGAAATAGCTGTGTATGGGGTTTTAATGCATCCCATTTAGCCAGCTTCGCTAAACAGATGTCAGAGACAGACCTGTCCTGGCTGCAGTGATGAAATATATCCATCATCCTCCCACTTATACCCTCTCACGCTTCCTCCGCCTCCCCCCCCCCTCTACACAGTCTCATTCCCTTGTTTTTATTCCATAGCTGCTTTGTCTTTCCATGTCTGTCCCCATGTGATTAGACAAGTTTTTGACTCATTTGAAGGGCACTTCAGGGAATTGTCAGTCTTTGTTTCAAATACATATTAACATATGTACAATTGTGCTTCCTTTGGGTATAAATTGTACAATGTGTCTGACCTATGCTGAATGGATATTATTTTTACCTATTTTAATGGAGTGAATATGCATATTAGATGATGTCTAAAATCATGAATCTAATAGATGTTTCCTTATTTACTTTAGTATTCATTTTACCACTTTTCACAACAATTGCTTTTGTTGTGGGACTGTGCTGTCATCCTTGACTAATACTCATTATTAAATCATTAGATGAAAATACAAAACTTGCACCAGCCAAAATATTTCTCCATGTTATTTGTTTCCTGTAGGAGAGAGCTGGATGAGATTGAAGTACTCCAGAAAAAGGAGAGAGAATATCTGCAGTTGGTAAAAGAGAAGACAGAGAAAATATCCCAAGCTCATCGGTTACACCACCTAATCAGTACAAAGCAGGTAGGTCCACAGGGACATAAACATTAATAACAATATGAACATGACAATAATTTGATTAGACCGATTTTTGAATGCAGACCATTAAGAGTGGGTGGCACGGTGGTGTGGTGGTTAGCACCATCGCCACACAGCAAGAGGGTTCTGGGTTTCAGTCCCGGGGGAACCAGGACCTCTCTGTGTGGAGTTTGCATATTCTCCCTGTGTCCAAGTGGGTTCTCTCCGGGTTCTCCGGCTTCCTCTCACAGTAAAAAAACCTCCATGTTAGATTGATTGGACATTCCAAATTGCCCTTAGGAGTGAGTGTGAGTGTGCGTGGTTGTTCGTCCTTGTGTGTCTCTGCGTGGCCTTGCGATGGACTGGCAGATCGTCCAGGGTGTACCCCGCCTCTCGCCCATTGACCACTGGGATAGGTTCCAGTACCCCCCGCGACCTTATCAGGGAATAAGTGGTTACGATAATGGATGGATGGATTAAGAAATGTTTATATCATATTGAAAAGAGGAACCTGAAAATGGTGGTTATTAAAGAACTGTATTTAGAACTGTATGTAGTAGTGTACATGTCTCTTTAATGTGTTGATAATTGGTGCCAGATATATCAGCAATCAGCAGCAGTGATGCCACATGCACTGGTTCCTGTTCACTTTCTACATTTCTTAGCACTGACTTTATTATATTTTCTCAGATTTCTGAGCAGGACTGCTTAGATAATATTACAATGTTTTTCTTTCTGCTGTTAAACATGCATTGAGTTGCTCTTTGATAACTTTTTAATCAATCAATCAATCTTATGTAGATCCACAGAAATTGGAAAACTATCAAATATAGTCAACTTTTGTGGCTGAGCAGTGGAGTGTTTTATCTGAATCAAATTCAATGTTCACTTCAGGAAATGTCTTGAATTACACACACACAAAATGACTTCTACCAGTTAAAAATTACCACGAGCCCAACCATTGACAGTGACAGCGACATGGTGACATTAAAATGTGTTAGTCTGAAATGCCTAAATATTAAAACCAATACACATTTTTACACATATGAATGACTACAGTGAAATATGCTGGAACTCAAACAGATAGAGGGAAGCACTACCGAGTTCCTCAAGAGACTGATACGTGGAGAAAATAATCTTCCCTCTTTCCTTCTGTCAACACAAGTGGCCTGTGTGCAGTCAAGTTCTGTGTGTATACACATGAGTAAGAATGGGTCCTCATGGCTCTTCTGATGTGCTGAGTAGAGTGTTTTAGTGCTTCGCACTGGCACAGGTGTGTTCAGTGTGTGGGGCATCTACGTCTTTCTGTGACTCCCCACAGGGATCATAATGAAGACAAAGTATGCTGGTCACTGTTGATTCAGCACCACCACTCCTCTAACTTTAACTGTCTATTTCTTTCCATCTCCCTCACCTTCATGGCTATACAGCTAACATTGTCATCATTTGGATTACTACCTGAATTCTGCAGGTGTCCCATATCATTAGAAGTTTCATCACATCATAACTTTTTCATATTTCATTATTGAGATGATAGAAGCTGGGACAGTGTCAGGATTCTTTGAACAGGTTGCATACACACATGGACATTGTTTTTGCTATTTTTTTACCATGTTTATGAGATTGGTATTTTATGATGGGAAAAAAAGGACGCAAGAGGGAAAGTTTATGTATTCCTTCTGTCCTCTGTCTATCTCTCTCTGTATATCTCCCTCTCCCTTTCTCTGCATATGGCAGGGGACTTTTTCCCTTCGTAGCTCTGACCTTGTCAGCAGTGAATAGATGGCTCTCCCACACAGTTCATCCTTCCTCACTTCTCGGACCCCAGCCCACACATACACACTCACTCACACAAAGCTTACCAAAAGGCCCCAAGTCCCTCTGACAGAGACAGAGATGCTGTGTTCTGGGGGTCAAAATCATTGTTCTTCTCATAGCTAGCTCTTTTGGGCTTGTGTATATCTCTAGGTGTGTGCTTGTGAAATTTACATTTTATAGTGATATGAAAATTCTTCACTTCACAAAGGAAACAGTAAAATAATTATTGCCTGAAGGGCATATTCTGTTTTCAAGTGTCAGTTCATTGACTTCTTATTGTGAGCACAGTCTTTGAGAACCATGAGGGTATTTAACATTAGCACTCATCTAACATATATTTAGTGCAAAATGAGGTAATCTGAGTGAGTTTATTTTTTACCATTGTACGTTTTTAAACCATTCAAATGTTGTTGTTGTTTGTGCAAATCTTATATTTTTTCTTTTTTTAACCACGATTTACATGAAACTGTTTTGTGGACTGGGTAATGAGCTATGGATAATGTATCAGCATACATGTCCTACATTTAAGACCACCTGGTAATTTGATGGTGTAGCGTGTTTGCTGAGGAGCCATGCTTAAAAACACCAATGATGCTGAACTGTATACAGACTTCTCTGTGTAGCACACAGAGAAGAGAAAACTCTTTGCTTAGCTGTTCAGAGATCCCATGTGTTGATCAAAGTGGGAAACATGTTTATGCACAGGTGCAGTAGAATGAGCAGAGAAAAACTGATGATCCATATTGGAGAGTGAGGGGGAAAGGAAGAGCAGGGGTTTTAAAGTCTTAAATGTAATTGATTACTTATTTTTCATTTGACAATGATCAACTTTGTAAGTAAACATTCTTATTATTCTGTAATGAAACATTCAGCAATTAACTAGTTTGTTCATGGTCTATTATTTCTTAAAAAGTGTAATTTTAGTTGCTATAGTCAGAACAATATTCCATTTATGTGTCAACTCTCCTCTTCCCACAGCTGTTCCACTGTTTTAGAGTGGCTTAGGCATTGAGCAGTGTCATTAGCATATAGAGTAGATACACAGTCCTCAAACTCAAAGCTTTAATTAACAGAATGGATCACTGTGATTTGAATAATTATTAAGGACGCTGTCTGTTAAAAAAAAAATTCTGCCTCACTTTGGGCTTGTTTACATCAGTGTGCATTTTACACTTTTTAACAGATTACTGACAACTTTGAAGATGAATTATTCTGGATTTGCAGTGGATTGGCACCTGATGCTTAATAAAGTTACCATGGTTTACTCTTATACACTCATCAATCCAGCCATCCATCCATCTTTCCACTTTTAGTGAGGATACTGAATGTCACTGGGATGTCAATAGGGTTATGTGATACACATTGAAAAGTAAATCTAAGTCTAAACAAAGTTAGGTGAGTGTCTATTATTCGCTCTTAAAAATACCCATTACAGTTTGAGTAACTAAAGACTGTTACTGTCACTTTAACTTTACTCAACTGGTATTCCATTTCCTGCTGCAGCTGCTTAATATGCTGGGTTTCCTTTTGTGAGAAATAAAGGTTATACAGGGGGAAGAAAAATCAGAGTGTGTATTACAGATTGTGAAAATGACAGAATCTCCACATAACTGATATTGGTTTGCTACTTTTTATGGTTGGTTACTTAGTAACACATGTCATCCCTGTGGATAGATTATCTTCCCTCTTTGAGAGTTTTTTTTTTTTTTACCATAGTGGCTTAAAGTAGTTAGGATGGCCTTGCAAGTGGGCTACCATCATCAAACACAACCAAATTAAGATTATGGAGAAAGTGTATGGTAATATTCCGGTAACACCTAGCTTTAGGAAACATTGAACCTCAAAATAATAGTCATTCACAGAAATCGTTAAGATTGCAATTATGTAAAATAAAGCCAGAATAATGGTATCAATAATTTTCAACATGGAAATAAAAAAAAAGAAAACCAAAATTGTTAAATGTATCGTGCATATCTACTGCACAAAAATAATGCAAATGCTAAAATGTACTGTAATTTGATTAAGAAATTAGAAAAATTTAGTTCTTTAGAAAAAAAGTTCTTGCCTTTGCTGCAAGGATTTTCTTCTACTTATGTTTATAACCATCAAACATGGTCTTTAAAAATTATTCTTGAGGCTGTCATTCCTCCATGTTGTCCTTTATGTAATGTAAATCTTTCATTCTCCAGAGCCCTGGGGTCTTCAACTCTCCATTCAGGCCAGCCCCAGATGAGATGGAGCTACTGTTGAGGCAGGTCAAGTACCAGGCCCCCACCAAGCTGAATCCCAGGGGGAGGGGTTATCCCCTGGACATCCCTGGCCCCACAGCCCCTGGTTTCTCTGGGAGTGCTGAATCCCCATGGATTAAGTCCACCAAAGCCTGCAGCTTCAGGCCCATTTTACCTCCCATTTCCACTAAAAAGCAGCAGGTAATGATGATCGAACCATGAACAATGACAACAATAAAAAAATTGAAATTTGCAAAAAAGGTTATAATAAATATTTCTTCAACAAAATCTGATAACTATAAAGCCTCTTAGGTTTAAAAAAAAAAAAGAAGACTTTTCCATGATTGTAAACAGTGCAACACAGTACGAGTTAATATCAAAATGCATACTGTAAAATAATCCATTAGTATCCTGCTCCAGTATGACCTGCATTGTGCCAAACACACAATGTTCTGGATCTTTAAGGCATCAGAGACTCAAGATTTATCGTTAAACGGATAATTGTTCTAGCTATTTAAAAAAACAAACTGTATCTTCATTCTTAAAATGCAACTTCCCACATATGCTAAAATCTATAGGTGTTAACTATTTAAATATAAGTTTGAAGTCCTTTTCTCTCATGATCTTCAGCCCCAAATATTTCTAGACATGCTCCGGAGGGGCTGCATGAGATCTTGTGGAGATTACCTCACCTGCCATCTTGTAATAAATCAATGAATGAGCACATATGTGAATACAGCAACAAATCCTCCGGTGCATTTACAACAAATGAGTGTGCATGCTCATGAGTGTGTGCATGGTTAAATCTTTATACTCTTTCCTTATTCTTTTGTTGGCTTCTAATTCGCTTCCCTGCTGGTCAATATGAGGATACATATTACAGAAAATGGATTAAAACAAAAATCAGAAGTTTGACTATGCACTTTTTTACATCATAAGAATTTAATACAAATATTATTTTGCAATGCATCTCCATCTGAGAATCAAAAACCTGACAGTAGCTGGTGAGGGACTTATGACTTATTTTAATTTACTTAAATTCTGGAAAAAAATCTCAGATGTAAAAAAAATGTAAGCCTTGTGATTCTTTGGTGAGACTGTTGAACAACTCTGAGCTAAGTATAAACAATATCAGTATAATAAACTGGTGTTCAGCTATGTTTCTGAGATTTTATGTTGTGTTCTTAATTTTTTTAAAATGTGTATGTGAATGACTTTGACTTATCTCTATTTTTGTTATTGACATACTGTAGTTATTCTGACACAGCACAGTTATTAATTTTTAGCAATGTGAAACGTCAGTGAGCAGCAAAGAAGCACTGTTTTGTCTCACTTTCTTTACTACAGTTAATATACTCATAGTTTTACCCACTAACTGGCTGTAACTTAATCAAGATCACAAGTACTGTCAAGAAAGTCTCTGGTGCTGATAGGAAGCTGTCGACTCTTAAATAGCTTTACATTTCTCTCCCTTCATGCAGTTCGTTTGTGTTTGTATTTTGCTGTTATTAGTGCAGGATCCCCCTCTTTCCTTTGCCCTCACTGCCACCCCCTTCATCCCTGGTGTGATAACTATCTAGCAGTGATGGATAAGGTTGAGGTTCTGGCTGTGGAAGTGGTCAGGCCAGGCCGCTGATCCCATGGCGATAGGAGCAAGGACAGGGTCCCTGTCTCTTCCTCTATCGCTCCCCCTTATGCTCCCTCCATTAAAAAACAAAACAAAACATCAACCAACAACTGAAGGTCATCCTAAACAAAGCAAAACAGTTCAAGTTAATCTGCAGTTTGTAAAGTTTTACACGTTTCTCATTGATCAATGCTTACAACTTGTACTACGAAACCTCGTGTCAGATTAGTTTGTTATTCTCCTCACAAAAATATTTTGTGTTTTCTTAGCATGTATAACTGAGGAATAAGATTGTACCTGGGCATGCATGGAGATTACACTATGTGATAACACAAGACTACATTTCCTCCAAAAAGAAAACATGTTTTCATAATTCAGCAAAGGTGACTACAAAAAATAATTAAAAAAACACACTTTTATATTTCTGAGAGGACATTTGCATTCACCTAGAGAGGAAACAAAATTGTTGAACTTAATATATTTACGATGAATTGTTGGAGTTTACATAACACTGGACTTGGGGTGGAACTAACAGAATTAAAGAGTAAAAATTAAAGTTAACTGATTTGCTTGTGTGAACTAGTTCCTCGCATTTTTGCAAAACGTTACAGATTGCAGTTTTATCAATGGTGATGATGTTTATTTTTCCAGGGCCTGTTTAGTGAGCCAGGAGAAGTTTGGAAGCAGAGCCTGCAATGTCCTGACTTGATGCTATGCTTACAGACCTCTTACACACACCTGGAAGAAGCCCAGGGTCAGCTGTGGCAACATGAGTCTGTGAGGCTCCCCAGTGTTGTACTGTAAGAATGATATACATACACATCCAGCATTAACTCGATGCACAGGCCTGAAAAGGGCTGAAAAGGGTTTATTTTTTACCATTGTACGTTTTTAAACCATTCAAATGTTGTTGTTGTTTGTGCAAATCTTATATTATTTCTTTTTTTAACCACCATTTACATTAAACTGTTTTGTGGACTGGGTAATGAGCTATGGATAATGTATCAGCATACATGTCCTACATTTAAGACCACCTGGTAATTTGATGGTGTAGCGTGTTTGCTGAGGAGCCATGCTTAAAAACACCAATGATGCTGAACTGTATACAAAAAGGGTTCTGACGCACTGTTAGATATGAATCAGAAGTAAGCATTTAGAGGTTTTCCAGAATCACGTTTCAAGCTTTTTTGCAGCCAATATAGCCATGGGTAAACTCATAGGTGTAAGCCAGCAGATGACTTTAAGACTTCTTCAAACTGGATTTATGGTCAACTGTGCTGCTATCTCTTCCTACTGAAGTTGAAAGCTTTCATTAGTTTTAATTAAGAACTATGTATGCGTGAGTGTGGGTGTCTTTGCTGAAACACTTCACAATAAACTCATTAGCACTCACAGGCTAATCTACTCAACTGTATGTGTGTAAATGTGAAGTACTGTTATTAACCCTCTGTTTGATCTGTCTCTTACAATAATGTCTCGGAATATGCTATGAAAGACCACCCACTTTTTATTTTTTTCCTCAGACATAGGCTACAGTTTTTTGCCTGTGCAATCAAAAGACTGCTTTTGTCTATATTGTCTATATCGCTTTTTTATATAGTAGTACTTTTCCTTGTTAAAATGTATTAATAGAAAATGAATCCATCTAGTCTAATGGCTCTTTTTCTTTCTTTTGGTTACCAGAGGATCTGAAAACCTGCCGCAGCTCATGAAACCCTGTAGCAGCTCCTTCAAACAATAACCTTTTGAAGAGGTATGATGAAACTACAAGCACACACATATATGTTTTTCGTGCACCTGAACTATCCTCATGAGGTCATCAGGGTCCTTCTTACTGTGTCCATTCTGTAGACTTTCATGCAAAAAGCAAAAAATAAATACGTTTTTCAGGGACATTTAACATTTAAATGATCTTGTCTAATGTATATCCATCTTCTACCTGAAATAACACACCCTGTTATGAAGAAACAGTGAACACTTTTATGTACGTATAGCTGTAACCTCCAAACAGAATAAATCTTGTACGTTACAGGAAAAATGAAAATGTGTAAACTTACATGCATCTGATTGTTGCATGTTAAGACTGCCCCAAAGGAGGGACACCCTTAGTGGAAACAGAATTACTTTATTATTCTTGCTGGAGTCTTGTAGTGATTTAACCTGTTCGCATTAATTAGGTGTTTATCCCAAATGTGAAGCTTTATTGTGAATCCATCTCAGATGTTGCTCTCAAAATTATTGGCAGTTCTTGCTTTATTAAGTTGTCTGGGATTGTTCTGAAAGATAGAATTATCTCCTCAAAGAAAACATGAAATACAGAAGCAGTGCTGCCTAAACCTTTCAACTTGTGTTGCACAAATTTGTCAAAAGTGACAGCAATTTAATAAATCGGCGCTCTCCATCACACGCATATGTACACCCACCCACACAGCTTCAGAGATTTCCCAGCTATGCCCTCCACTGCCCGCTCTACATGTATACGTAAATGAGGTGTATGCACTGGTGTGTGAGTG